TGACATAGAAATAAAATATATATAAAATGAAGCACAGAGAAAAAAAAAATTGACCAGAACTTCAATGACCTATGGGAACACTAGAAAGTAGAAGTAGAAGAGGAAGAAAAAAAGATTTAAAGAAATAATGGGTGAAAAAGTTCCAGGTTTGCTGAAAACTATAAGCTAGCATATCTAAGGCTCAAAGAATTCCAAAACAGAATACAAAAAAAAGAAAGAATGACAGAAAAATACACCAAGTCAAATTCTAATTGAAATACTGAAAAGCAGCGACAAAGGGAAAATGTGAAAATCAGACATGGGTGAGAGGAGACAGAGTATGTACAGAGAAATAAAAACAGGAATGGCAGCAGACTTTTGTTAGAAAAATACAAGCCAGAAGGCACTGGAACAGAGCTTTAAAGTAAGCTTAATGATGGTGACATGTTCTGAGAAATGCATCACTAGATGATTTCATCATTGTGCCAATGTCGTAGAGTATATTTACACAAACCTAGATAGTAGAGTATACTACACACCTAGGCTACATGGTGTAGCCTATTGTGCCTAAGCTACAAACCTGCACATCATGTTACTATACTAAATACATAGGCAATTGTAACACAATGGTATTTGTATATCTAGACGTATCTAAAAATAAAAAGGTACAATAAAAATATGGTATTAAAGATAAAAAATGGGACACCTATAGAAGGCACTTACCATGAATGGAGCTTGCAGGATTGAAAGTTGCTCTGGTGAGTCAGCAAGTGAATGGTGAGTGAATGTGAAGGCCTAAGACATTACCATACACTACCATTGTAACACAATGGTATTTGTATATCTAGATGTATCTAAAAATAAAAAGGTACAATAAAAATATGGTATTTATAAACACTGTATGCTTAGTCTACACTAAATTTATTTTTTAAAAAGTAATTACAATAAGATATTAGGATGGCTAAGATATCACTAGGTAATAGGAATTTTTCAGATTCATTATAATCTTAGGGAATACCATCGTATATGTGGTTTGTCATTATATGGTGAATGATTGTATATGCTTCTTGACATGGATGAGGTTATGTCCCAAAAAACCCAGGATAAGTCAAAAATACGATAAGCCAAAAATGCATTTAATACACCTAACCTACTGAACATTATAGCTTAGTGTAGCCTACCTTAAAAATGTTCAGAACAATTACATTAGCCTGCAACTGGGCAAAACCATCTAACACAAAGCATATTCTATAATAAAGTGTTGGATATTTCATGAAATTTATTAAATACTGAAAATGAAAAACACAATGTTTGTATAGGTACTCAAAGTATAGTTTCTACTGAATGTACCTCACTTTCCACGCTATGGTTAAGTCAAAAAATTGTTGAGTTGAACCATCATAAGTGGAAAACCATCTGTACATACAAACATATCTGTCAATCCAGAATTCTACACTGAGAAAAAAGTATTTTTCAAAAGGGAAGATGAAATAAAAAATTTTTCAGACAAACAAAAGTTTACAGAATTCATCACAGATCTGTGATGTAAGAAATGATAAAGGATTTCCTACAAGCAGAATTAAAATGATACCCAATGGAAATTTTTCCTCATTTGAAAACCTATTTAAAAAAATAATTTATTGTTAAAGTAAAAAATAATTGACTGAATGTAGAAGTAATATGTGTGACAACAATAGCAAATAGGACAGGAAAGAACAACAGAAGCATACTAGTGTAAGTTTCCTATACTGTACTGTACATAAAATTATACCATATTACTTAAAGGTCAACTGTAGTAAATTAAAGAATGATGTCTATTGTAAATCCTAGAGCCACCTACAAACAAAAATAAACAGTGAAATAAAAAAATAAAATAAAATAAAACAATAAAATAAAATAGACTTAACTAATAAGTCAACAAAGAAGATAAAGTGAAATTCAAAAAAATGTAAAATCTTTTTAAAAGCCTTACTTACGTCTATTTTCCAGGTTACATAAATGAGGCTAGTGTAGAAAAGAATAGGCCCTGTTCCTCCAAGGATCCCATGCCAGGTATAAGTAGGGTGGAGGTGGGGCAAAAGGGTGGGAACGTATGCCTAATGTTGCTAAATCTGTGGTGGTTTTTCTTTGTTTAAAAATATCCAGAAATCTAGATACATTTACTTATCCATTCATTTATGTAAAATCTTCTAGTATTTAAGGTGTTCAATCTGATGATTTGATATATGTATACATTGTGCAATAATCACCCCAACCAAACTCATTCACATATCTAACACCTCACAGAGTTACCATCTTCTTTTTTAGTGTGTGTGGTGAGAACATTTAAGATCTACCATCTTAGCAAATTTCAGGTGTATAATACAGGATTGTTAGCTGTAGTCACAGTGTCGTACATTAGATCTCCAGAATTTATTTACCCTGTGTAACTGAAACTTTGTACCCTTTGACCAACATCTCCCCATTTCTCCCCTCCCCTCCCCGCCAGCCCTGGCAAACACCATATGATCCAGCAATCCTACTTCCAGGAATATAGCCAAAGGAAATAAAATCACTATCTGGACAAGATACTTGCACTCCAATGTTCATTTTAGCATTTTTCACAATAACCAGGGTATGGAAACAACCTGAATGTCTGTCATTAGATGAATGGATAAAGAAACTGTGGTATATATATACAATGGAGTATTATTTAGCCTTAACAAAGAAGAAAATCCTACCATTTGTGACAACATGGGTGAAACTAGAGGACATTATGCTAAGTGATATAAGCCAGGCACAGAAGGACAAACACCACAAGATCAAGCCCCTCTATCACGACCACCCATGCAAACATAGCCACCGTCCCCAGCCCCTGTTCCTGACTTGGGTATAGGGTGGGTGCTCTGCTGGTATATGTTCTACCCACCACAGGCCTCCCCAATTTCGGCTATTTTAGGCTCTCATACTGGAGATTAAATTCTTATACAGACTGGGCCAACTCTGAGGTTAGGTGGAACTGGGGTGCCCTCTACTGTTTTCCAGAATTATAACTACTTGGCTTAATTTCATTCAATAAAGGGAAAATTCTAATGAAACAAATGGGAATTCAACTGATTATTCATTATTTCTCAAGACAAACACTGAATTCCGTGTTGAAACAAAAAATATTGAAATGATAATAAATATTCTAGCAATGTGAGTTTCTGTACAGTTCTGATAAGCCGTATTATTTCCCTATCCCCTCAGGTAGTCAGTCCATCTGCCATGAAGCAATGATGTTATACATTACATAAACACTAGAGTAGGATACCATTTCATCACAGGGGAGGGAAATGGATCTTAAGATAATTTTCATCTCTTTGATATGCATTGACATACAACTGATAGAGAATTTACCAAGAAACAAGGGAAGTTTATTTTATTTTGAGACAGGGTCTCGCTCTGTTACCCAGGTTGGAATACAATGGCGCCATCATAGCTCACCGTAACCTCCAACTCCTGGTGTCAAGTGATTCTCCCGCCTCAGCCTCCAGAGTATCTGGGACTATAGGCATAAGCTACCACATTGGGCAAAAACATGGAAATTTTAAACATAACCCATCAAAAGAACATATTCACTTACAGTTGATATTTCATTCATTATTAGGAATTAATGTCCATAACTCACTAATACAAAAGTAATCTCTTATTTATCTATTTTTTTCTCAAAAATAGACTGAATGGCTTTGTGTGACAATCAATAAAACTTTAAATTTACCAAATCTTTGATTTGCATTATGCTGTTTAATCCTGAATGAAGAGCAGCTGTCACTGCTATTTCTAAACCCAGAATTCCAACACCTAATAGGTGAAAATTATATTAAGTTGAGTATAAAAGCATATTAAGTTGACTTTAATGATTTTCACCAACAAGGAACATTACCATAGTGATACATCTTTTGAGAAATTAGAAAATGAAGAAAAGCATGGCTCAATTTATCCATCTTAGAATTAGAAAAGCTTTTCGAACCAGCATTTTAATCTAATTTATGTTTCATGAAATCCCACTAAAATCAGAGTCGATACTGTGGCTAAATATACATTCAGAGTAACACTTCCTGTATATTTGCACATTTATATATATTTATGTCCTGTTTCTGGAATATATTTACAATTTCTCATTTTTGGAAAATTTCAGAAATTTTGAAATGTGCAAAAGTACCAGCAGGTAACTTAGATTCGGAACACATTGTGTTAGACATAACTGGAAAACAGGGGCTTCATACACTGGAAGGGTAAAGAACTTTTCTGGAGGAGAGTTAGGAATTTGCCCTTTCTCACAACTATTGTGTTAAAAGACACTACGGACAATACAGTTTCACAGAAGGTGTGGAACAATGATATAAACGAACCTCATCATGTTTTCATTAGTTTTACTTTATACCTTGAACATTTTTCACGAGGTGTTCTCCTAGTCAAGAGGCACCCGTCTCCTGAGGAAACACGACCCTGCAATCCTGAAATTAAGGAATGTGTTGTTTTAGCATCCATCTTGTGTTATTTGAAGGGGGCCCTATTTCTGCCTACTTATCATTAATGCCACCCTCACCTGTCAGGAACTGTGCCACTCAGACAAGAGACCGACATAACCGCAATAACAAAACCCAAAACTCCGTGTGTGTGTGTGTGTGTGTGTGTGTGTGTGTGTGTGTGTGTGTGTGTGTTTGTGTGTGTGTCTGTATGGCTAACTGGAGGCAGTGCACCAAATGTCCACGTTGTGGCCCCAGAAGCTCTACTCAGGGCGATCCCGTCTCTCGACCCCCAGACCCGCTTTCAGATCCACAGACCCCATAGCCTCTGGCCCCTTCCTATTGCCACCGCGGCTTCACGTCAAGAAATGGAACTTCGGAAACCCCCCAGACGTCGTATACTGCAATTAGGCTGGGATTTCATTCTAATCTAATCCAATTTTATTCCGGCTTTCCCTCCCGTAGCAATGAATTACTATTTGTGAATTAGATAGAAAGGATGCTCACAAACCAGTTTCTTTCTGAACGGATTACGAGATGAGGATAGGCAGGGGTGCCACTGAGGACTGAGGAAGGGCCCAGGTGGGTGAGGGAGGTGCTCGGCTGGCCCTAGAAAAGCTCTGGGAGCGACGGCCTCAGTTACCACGGGCTGCTGCCTGCTGACACGACCTTTCCGTCTCTGGTCTGAAGAGGGGCTCCCGTGGTTATCACTGGAGGCACCGAACATGCTTCTGAAAGCCCCAGAGAAACTTCAGCAAAAATATGGCCTATCCCAAACCAGGCCAAACCGCGGGCCCTGAGCCCTCCCCCTCAGCCGAGCCGGGCCGAGGGCGCATTTGGTGAGAGTCTGGCGGCCTCTACCGGAGCGCCTCTGCAGAGGGCCGTTCCTCCAGCCCGGGGACGACATGTGGCGCTCGGGAGAGGTGAGAGCGAGCGCGCGAGTGTGCCGGGGGCGCTGGGGGGATCTGCAGCGGGCAGCGCGCGGCCCCGGGCGCGGCGCAGAGCGGAGCCGCAGGGCGGCGGCGGGAGCGCGGGGCGCCCGAGCCACTCGGCCCAGGAGCACTGGGGAAGTTCGCGCTGGCAGCATGGGGCGGTGACGCCGCACCGGCCTTCCGCGCCTGCCAGCCGGGCGAGAGCAGGCGGAGGAAAAGGATGCACCCTCGCCGACGGCTCGCCTCCCGGTGCCGGCGCGCAGGGTAAGCCCCGGGCGTGCCGGGCCGGGGCAGTGGGGTAAGAAGATGCGAGCGGGAGAGACAAGACTGGCGGCCCCGGCTCGGCCCGCACCTCTCTCCTCGGGGCGCCCGAGCGGCGGGCTGCATGGCCAGGGAGGAGAGGTGGAGAGCGGGCGGGGCGCCGCGGGCGGCCCGGAGCGCAAACTTTCCCCTGGCGACTGCGGGGCCGAAGCCGCGCGCAGAAGGGCAGGGGGGTCCTGGGCGGCGCAGCCCTGCGGGACGGGGCGCCAAGGCGCAGCGCCTATGGCCCCGCGGGTAGGAATTGGGGGCTGGGGGCCACCAGCCGCCGCCGTCGCGGGAGCCCGAAGGGCGAAATCGCCCGCCTGGAAGGCCCTGTCAGCCCCAGGGCTCTGAGGCGCGTGGCGTCCCGGGGCTGCTCGCGGGGTGGGCGCGGGCCCCGCGGGGGTGTCGCGCGCTTGTCGCGCGGGCTCCTCGAGGCCAGTGGACTCGGAGCCGCCGCTGCACCGCGCGCTCCCAGCCGAGGAGGAAGGCGCTGCGCGGCGGGGCGCTCGACTCGGACCCGGGGCAGGAGCTGGGGAGGTCTGAGAGGGCCAGGATCGAGCCGGGGAGGGCCCGGGAGCGGGAGACGCTCGGCGCGCCGCTGCGGACCGGGCGGGTGGCCGACCCTGCCGGGCCGCGGGGTACAGGGGCGGCTGAGGCTGCGGCTCCGCACTGCAGCCCCGCGCCCACCTGCCCTGGCACGCCGGCCCTGGCGAGCCTCCGCGGTGGTCTGGGGGGTCTTGGGAGTGCAGCTTCTCCTTGGGGGTCTCGGCTCGGGGCTGAGGGGCTACAGGAGGCGCCGCCCGGGTTTCCCGCATGCAGCGCCGCGTGCTCGCTGCTTGGGCTCTGGCCCGGGTCCGGCGACGAGCCCCAGGACGCGCCCAGGAGACCACCACATGGCACGCTGCCCTTCTTGACAGCAGTCGCAGAGGGCCTTCGCTTTTGAGGTGGAAGTACCTGTTGTGTGCTTCCCAATTCTGGAGTTTGCGGGGCGGGGTGGGTGACGGGCAGGGTGTCCTCGGGAAAAGCTCCTTTTCGAATACTCGGTGTTCCTATGTGGTGAGCACCTATTTGCGTTATGCGCATATTGAGAAATGCGTGCCTTCACTAAGGTTAGTTGCTGAGCCCAGGGACGGTGCCTGCCTGGATTTCAAATGCGTTAATTACTGCCCGGCACCGAACGGAGGGGCTTCCGCAAATGCAGTGATTATTAACTTATTTAGTCAGGGGGGCAGGATGCCGAGGAAGTGGCAACTCTCTCTTCTAGGCAGCATTTATATTATCGCGATCCTGCAGAAGACTTGCTTCTTAAATGTGCTTTTTCTCCCCCTCTTTCTACATACTTCCTCTCAGCACCTTGCAGAACAAGGAGTAGCTTGCTGGCTTTGAACGCGTGGCACATATTTCAGAAAGGTAAAATTATTCCACTTGTGGATTTGACAGATACGAAATACAGTTGCGCAGATAACTCCAAGCATTTACTTTAATAATTGGACTGATGGATCATTTGATAACATGCTAAAAAGTAAAACAGAGTATTTGAGACATGGAAAAAAATAAATTAGAATGATTCCGCACTCTGAATACAAGTGAAGATTAAGCCATCCTGTAACTTCTTTTTACACTGCAACTGACTGCCGGATCAAGGTAGTGGGAAATACCTGGTGTGCTGGGGGAGGACAGCCACATGCCCTTTCTTTGTAAATTTCTTTGGTAGCAGTAGGGTTTGATTCCAGGAACTGTGACACAAAAACATTCGTGTTCATATACTTTTCCACTTTGTGTACTTTTCAGCTTCAAGATCAAGTTGGAGAAAAGAACAGTTATTCTTCCAAATTCATCTGCTTCAACTATTATTCTTATTGGGAATGGACAATGGAATGTTCTCTAGCTTTATCATGATCAAAAACCTCCTTGTCTTATGTATTTCCATGAACTTATCCAGTCACTTTGGGTAAGTTATCATCTGTGCTTTTTATTTTACGATATTAGGGGCACTAGTGCCTTTTAGAAACCTCGTAAAGCAGAACATGAATTCAGATTCAGCAAGCCCTCTCTTAACCACCTTTGCAGTTCCACGCCCTTCAGTTTGTTGTAAATAAACAGAGTCCTTGCCTTGACGCATGCTTTCTTCCTGAACAAGGCTGCTCCTAGTATGGGGTCTCTGAAGTGAGTCAGGAAAAGAGGCCGATTATGTTTTCAGAAATGGAAGCTGAGGAAGGTATAAGAGTCAGTTGTGTTTCTTCCTACTCAGATTAAAATGAGATTCAGAAGTTCACATGCATAAAGGACAGTCACTGCTTGTTAGACTGGGCAGTGTGCAACATTTAACTGCCCTCCTTAGTTCCCTGATGTAGTTAAATTTGCCTTTAAAGCCAGACCCATGCTACATGGCACTGAAAAGGATTCAGGGCCCTGACCCTAGCCAAGGGCCTGGAGTTGTGGCCCTCTGAACACAGGTGCAGAGACCATAACTACAGGTGCCTGAAGATCCAAAAAGACACCCATGAGGATCTGGCATTAGCATTTCTATTAACTTCTTTCATTTCGGCTTTTAGTATCCATGTGCCAATGCCAACCTTTTTTCATGATAACCAGCATTCCAGATGAATGTTCTTAGGGGGCCGACATTCCTCTTCTTCCCCTGCCCCCCTGCCCCAGAGTTATCCTGGTTAATCAAAAGGATTGGAACTTGAAGTTGATGGAATATAATTAAGAAATTAAATGTCAGGACAAAAGTTGCCAAACCTTAATTTTACAAAAGTGGTCTCCAGAGGTTGCAGTTGTGTAAATTATCAAGGGCTGAGAATATACAGTGGCTCTGCAACAGCCTGTAGAGACCCCTTCTCTCTGGCAAGTAAAGAGGATCCTTCCAGGGCCATGACATTTTCTGTTTGTCCTCTGGACATTTTATGCTCTTCTGACCCTTCAAGATCTGTGCAGAGGAAGAAAGACAGAGAGAGAGATAGAGACAGAGAGGCTTCAGACCTTGCCCAGGTGTCATTGCTAGGTCTACCTGGGCACAGGCCTGAGCCCTTAGCCGGGACTCTGTCCAGCAGAGCTAAGCTAAGGAGGATGCCCATCCTTCGCCAATATGAGCCAGGCAGCGTGGCATTCTAACCGTATTAGTTTGCACAGGTGTGTGGTATGTCACAGCCCTTTTAGCCATTCCTAGTATACCTTTTGGGAACAGTATTGGATGTTACTCATGCTTTGCTTGTCTTGAGTGGACACCTCTCCTCCCATACTCTCACTTTCCTTAGCTGTTAAGTGAATGGTTTTCCTTTCCAAGTCCTCTCCAGCTGTTGAATCCTATAAACTGTGATGTCCACAGAGCTCCTCTGAATGAAAGGTGTATATGTAAGTGAAATCTTATAGAATTTTCAAGTTTGCCACTTAATGCATTAAGTAGTCAGTTTGTTTACTGATATACTACATATATTTAGTAATATTTTGGAGGTGAGGAGTATGCTAGGATTGGGAACATAAATTTTTGTGATAACATTTTGGTCAAAATGTATTCTTGTGAATTTACATTGAATAGGCATGAAATTATTACACTCCCTGGTAGATGCAAGTCTGAAATAGGAAGTAATGTGCATAAGGAGTTTAGCCATGAGAAGCAGTTATACTTTATTGCTTATTTAATTCTGTAACTTTCTGAGGTAATCTTCAAAATAGAGAGGTAACTGTTAGTTTCTGGAGGCTAACACCAACTAAGTGGTAGAGTACCCTTCAATCTTTCCAGAAAATTAACTGTTGGAACAGTTTTTAATCATTTAGATAGAAGGTCAATAGTCTATCATAAAACACTACCTACTAGCTTCAGAAAATATGTGAGATACAGAAAAGTTTATAAGAAGGAAAATATCCTTAATTCCACCACACAGAGGTAGTCATCCTTCACATTGTGGTGTGCTAAATTCCCCTTGCTCCTATGCATATTTTTATATAGTTGGGATCATACTGCACTTTCAGTTTTGTACTGTGCTTTTTCGGTACCTAATACTTTGTTATCACAAACTCTAAAATGTGTGCTTTTAAAATGGATGGATGTTATTACAGTGCATGGATGCTGTCTTGTTTAGCTACTTCCTTAACTTATGATGTTTACGTTGTTTCTTATTTTGCTGTTATAAATTTTCCTGTGGTGAACATATTTGGCTTACAACTTTTTTAACCATTTAAGATTATTTCTATTAGGAGGTGCTTTCATAAGTGGAATTTTACATCAGGTTGTTTGAGTACTTTTAACTCTTGACCTTTCGATGAAGCAGGGTTTCTAGCAAAGCGGGAGGCTGAGTTTCACACACTCTGGCCAGCAGGGAATATTTTTCCACAGTCACAAAAGACATCATAAAAGACATCGAGTCCCTATTTATTTCCCTTTTTATGTGAGGCTCCTCACACTTGCATATTATCTAAATGTACTGGAGAATGATTTTGTCAGATCCCAAAGAAAGTTTCCTAATACTTACTTGACTTTAAATCTTGGAAAATACTAGCTACCCTAATGTGGGATATGTGTTTTAGGTGAATCCAAGAGCAACTGAATGAGCTGAGTACCATTGGCCCCATCTTTCAGCTGGGGGAGATGGAATGGATGAGTAGCTACCTTGGGAAGTTCACAAACTCAGTAACTGCTGGGACTCCTTACTCAGCAAACTTCCCATGTCATTTTGCCGGGTTCCTTCTTGGGCTCCCTTGTTTGACTACATATGGTTTGCAGGGTAGTTCTAGGTTAAACCAATCTAGAGAGGAGAGGGACATAATTCTGAAAGGTATTCACTGTTTCAGCCTAGAAACAGTTTTCTATACTCTAGGGAGAAAAAGAGTTTGGGTCAGCTCTGTCTCCCCATCCCCCGACCCAAAGAAAGAGTTTATGTGATCAGGTTCAAAAGAAAGGTAAAAGGGAAGCACACAGGGTCCTAATCTAAACATGATTCTAGGACAAGGGAAATGCTGACTCCTGTAAATACGTGTGAGAGGCCAGAGAACTGGCAGGGGGTAAAGGTGCTATATAAAATCAGGCACAGGAGAAGAAGGAAAAAGAACACATGTAAGGTTTTGTGCACGGACCATGTTGATATGCAGTGTTTGTGAAAAGTGTGTGGCTTTGGCAGTCAGAAAATTTATAACTGTGATAAGTGAAATATACTTGGGATTATATGAGATAATTAATGCGAAATTGCTTTGAAAATATATGAGTATTATTTCTCCTTTTCCCAATCATACTGTTTTTTTGATCAGAGTCACCAGCAGCTCATTTTGAATAGCCTTTATAATTCTCCAGTTAGTTTTAAATTATAGAACAGAGGATGAGTCAAGCGTACAATGGAACAGAGGCCTTATTTGACAGTCAGCTTTGTGCTATGGTACATTTGCAGACACGAGATTATTTGAAATATTATAATTATTTTAATGAAACTGGTAACCAAAAGCACATGGTATAGAAAAACTAGCACAGAAACACTATTGGCATCAACGTACTGTCAGAATTTATAATATTAAATTTAAACTGGAATTAATTTGTCATCATTTAGAAATATCATACCTTTTCAGACATGATGGACTAGTGATAATTGCAAGATAAATTTGGGGATCATCAGCTCAATAAGGTGAATTCTGATTCCATTTATTTTATTGCCTTAAACATATTTTCAAGGTTTATTGATTGAAGAAGAAAATATGTGTTAGAATTTTATTATGTGGCAGCTGCCATTCAAATAGACTTTGGAAAACAATATTTTATAATCAACAATTAAAAGTAGGTTCTTGTAGAAATGGCTTAAGAGCATGAAGAGATAAGGTTATTCTTTATCTGCCTACACAAGTGTGCCAACCTGGACCTCCAGTTTCATGAAGGTCCTTTTCATACACACGTTCAAGGACAGTTCCCTTCTTTTAAGTAGAGCAGAAAGTACATTCTCACTGAATCATGCAGGTATTCACAATGACTTTTTAAATGAAAAGTTCTCTCTTGTGAATTCCCAGATGACAAATTCTTCCTATGTTGTAGCTGTAGGTTCAGGAGGCCCAGGACAAACAGTCATTGTAACAATTATAAAACACTCAGAAAGCACCACTGATGCAGTTAGCAGGTGCATGAGCCCTGGTGCATCCAAAGCTTTCAGGGATCGGCAGGGATCAGAAAGGTAGTTATTGTGTATCACAAAAAAATGTGGGCAGCTAAAACAAGGCTACCGGGGAATGTCCAACATTTTTTTAAAAAGATACTCAAAGAAAATATTTCCCAATTATATGCTTTATGAAGGAAACTTTTAGCGTGTTCATTATGCCAATAGGCAGTGAGCAAAGCTTAGGAGAGACAGTGCGCAGCTCTCTGCCGACACCGTCTGGCAGTCGGCTCCAGGATGAGTCACTGGCTCGGTTCAAGGGGAGAAGGAATATGTGGGCTT